TGGAAGGACGGACAGATGGATAGATAGATAGATAGATAGATAGATAGATAGATAGATAGATAGATAGATAGATAGATAGACAGATAGATAGACAGATTTACGGATGGACAGATAGATTGACAGATAGATTCACAGACAGACAGAAAGATAAAATGACAGATGGACGGACGGACAGTTGTCCCAATCATCACAATGCTGCAGAAGACCTAGAACCAGCATGGAGCCAAGATTCTCACAGAAATCTGTCAAGTTTGGTGATGGAGAAATCATGGTTTGGGGTTCATTCAGTATAGGGGTGTGCGAGAGATCTGCAGAGTGGATGATCAACATCAACAGCCTGAAGTTTAGAGACATTTGTGCTGCCCATTACATTACAAACCACAGGAGAGGGACAATTCTCCAGCAGGATAGCACTCCTGCTCATACTTCAGCCTCCACATCAAAGCTCCTGAAAGCAAAGAAGGTCAAGCAGCTTCAGGATTGGCCAGCCCAGTCACCAGACATGAACATTATTGAGCATGTCTGGGGGTAAGATGAAGGAGGAGGTGTTAAAGATGAACACAAAGAGTCTTGATGAGCTCTGGGAGTCCTGCTGAACGCTTTCTTCTTCATTCCAGATGACTTTATTAATCAGTGATTTGAGTCATGTCAGAGATGTATGGATGCAGTCCTCCAAGCTCATGGCTACAGCCAATTTAGTTAATCAATTCTTCTATGGCACATATGTTTGGACTGTGGGGAAACCCACGCCAACATGGGGAGAACATGCAAACTCCACACAGAAATGCCAACTGGCCCAGCCAGGACTCAAACCAGCGACCTTCTTGCTGTGAGGCCACAGAGCTAACCACTTAGCCACCATGCTGCCCACTGTGATGTCAGTAATACTATAAACTATTATGAATACAAATGTGATTTAAAGTAAATAAAAATCGTGTAATAAGATAAATAGACCGCACCATTATTAGTAGAAAATGAATACGTTTGAAATAATATAATTATTAAATGAAAGAAAAATAAATACACAATGATGAATAAACAACTGAGTTGTTTATTATTTTTTATCTAAATATTAAATTCCAATACAAAATGTTTATTACATTAAAATAAATACAGAAATGATAAAGAAATAGGAGTTAGATTAGAACAATACAAACCTGATTTTAACATGTAAATAAATAAGCACACAAATAAATGAACAGTATTATTATGAGTATTGAGAAAGAAATATGAAGATAAATAAACAACAGATTTTTTTATTTAAATATAAAATTCAAATACAAAATAATTCAAATAAATACATAAATGATAAATAAATGTAAGCAAGATTAGAACTAACACTAATCTGATTTAAACGAGTAAATAAACAAACCTTAAAATGTTTTCGATTTAATTAAACTGCTTTTATTCTAGCTGAAGTAAAACAAACAAGACTTTCTCCAGAAGAAAAAAATATTATAGGAAATACTGTGAAAAAATAATTGCTCTGCTACTTTGAGAAATATTTGGAAATATTTTGACTTTAACTGTATGTATATAAAGTTGAAAAAAATTAAGGAAAAAATATAGCCTAAAGGGGCTAATAATTTTGACCCTTAAATGGCTTTTAAAAAAATTAAATCTGCTTTTATTCTAGCCGAAATAAAACAAATAAGACTTTCTCCAGAAGAAAAAAATATTATCAGACATACTGTGAAAATGTCCTTGCCCTTTTTAACATAATTGGGGAAATATTAAAAAAATGACTAAAAAATTAAAAGGGGGCTAATAATTCTGACTTCCACTGTATATATATTAATCATTAAAATCTCTGGAATAAATTATTAAATTAAATGATAAACCACTGTTGCACAGTTATTTTATAGTGCAATAACATTTCACAATTTTACAATGTGTTCTGTATTTTTGATGAAATAAATGCAGCCTTGTTGAGCAGGAGAAGCTTATTTTAAACATTTAAAAACCACACTGACATAAAAATTTTGACCAGATGTGTATGTTTTTAACTGTTTTATAAAAATAATAATTATTATTGTAAATATGCTGATTTTTATTACTTAATATTACTGTTTTATCCTAAAATTATTAAATGATTCTTAAATGTACAGTTTATTTTGATTTATTATTTTTATTTGTACTACTATTTACTGTGTCTACTATGTTTTTTTATATATATTTGTTTGCATGTTATTTTTATTGTAGACTTTATAAATTCTTTAGCAATACATTTGTCATGCCAAGAAAGCAATTATTAAATTATATATATATATGCCAAGAAAGCAATTATTAAATTATATATATATATATATATATATATATATATATATATATATATATATATATATATATATATATATATATATATATATACACACACAAACAACACTTAAATGTATGCATTTTTAAAATCACTATCAGCTAATTAAATGTATTTGTGAATGGTCACTCGAGTGATTGATGGACAGAGCGGAAAGCGCAAGTGACGTGATCTGAGGGCGGGAGAGAGAGAGAGAGAGAGAGACCGAGAGAGGGAGAGAGAGAGACTCCATTAACAGCACAGCAAACCCCTTCAGGAGCTCCGCCGCTGGACTTTGTCGATTTTTTTCTTCTTTTTTCGTGAACCTTCCCCATGATAGGATTAACCGGGCCGCTGAAGGACAGAAGACGCGCGCGCTGCTGAAGTTCTGGGAAGTCAAGCGCTGTTTGCTGGATTTCTTTCGGCGGTTTTTTGGTGAAGGTTAGTGAACGCTATGATTTCACCCTCTCAGGATTTGTCTGGCGCTGCTCCGCGCAACTCCCGGTCAAAAATCTGCCCGTTGTTCTGTTTTAACCCCGGCCACTCACTTTGCTTCGAAGTCGAGCTTTCTTATTTCACCGAAACGCGAGTAAACGGCAACTTTCTCCGTCGGTTTTCTCCGTGTTTTTCCTCTGCCGTTGACCTGCCTGTCTTTATTTAGTTGGCATTTGGAGCGGGGCTGCTGACGTGACGTCACACCGGAGAGAGACCGAGTCTGAGTTTGACCGTTAGTTACAGCAGCAGCTACAGGTTTCAGTTTCGCGTTTTACACTATATTATTATAACATCCGATATGATATTGAGGTAAAGTTGGTTTTATATTCGCACATTCGTTCAGTGACAACTTGTTAAACGCTCCCTAACGCTATATTGTTTATTATGGTACTTTGAATATTCGATCTGAATGTAAGTAACTTATGTCTTCAAAATAACACTATTTAACGTTATTTGACTGTGAACAATGTAGTAGTATTGTAAGTCACTGCTATTATGGTTTTACTATTTGGAATTAGCAAATAATTATTTTCTGTTATTATTATTATTAAGAAGAAAGTCTGAATGTGTGAATATGAACCCAACTTCAGTCGATATAATGACGTTTTGTTGTCTTTAAGTAAACTGTGGTATTGTCTAACAACTTCTGGTTTAGGTTCACACAGAAGCAATAAATCCTACTCATTTTTAATATACTTTAATCTTTTTTCTTGGCCTGTATTTTACAGCACTTTATAAATACTCAAAAATTTATCTGTCAATGTTTTCAAACAATTATATTTTGATTTACCAAAGTCACACAAGTGGCAATTTCACATCGGTCACATCCATAATGGAGATGTCACGTCCATAACGACACTTATCTTCATAAATGCAAAAATGTCAAATAAAGTAAAATCATTAATTTTTGTTCTAAAGAGAGACGTAATTTATCCTTTTTTGCCTAATGATGTGCATTATTGCTTTTGGATGTGCAGTTTAATTTACAGTATTTCTTAAAAATTAAGTTGAATACTGCAACTCGCTGACTTTTTTAGTCACATCCATAACGCATGTTTATATCCCTCATTTAAAGTACTAAACATGTTTACAGATTAATATTTTTCTGGTCCTTTAACTCTATGATTAGTTGTTCTAGAAAAAATGTAAACACATGTTTCAATATAATGTTAACGTACTTTCTATGTATATTTATGTTTTGAGTTTTTACTGCAAATGTCATAGAGGTAAAGTGGGTTTTGTATTTGCACATTCGTTCATTTAGCAGTCTCTATATTGTTTACCATGTTACTTTGAATATTCGATCAGCATTAGCATGCAAGTATGACTTCTAAACAACATTAACACTATCTAATTCACTGTAAACAATGCTGTACTTTGATAGTCATTTGCTGCTAATATGATTTCCCTATTTACAATTTGCAAAGAATACTTTTCTGAAATTATATTATTAAGGAGAAAGTCTGAATATCCCAATACAAAACCTATTTTACCTCTATGCAAATGTCACATCCATAACACAGGAATTGCTGCTACGATATTGTGATGAAGTTTAAGTGCAGTAATTTAAATATACATCTTAATTTGCCAAATATTCAAGGGATAGTTCACCCAAAAATTTAAATCGACTTGCTATTTACGCACTCTCAAGTGGGTTGTAAACATTTAGGAGTTTCTTTCTTCTGTTAAATACAAATGAAGATATTTTAAAGAAGGCTGAAAACCTGTAACCACTGACTAGTAAATGAGGTAAAATTGGTTTTTATATTTACACATTTGTTAATCTTTGAACAGTGACAACTTGTGAAATGCTCCCTTTATTGTTTACCAAGCTACTTTGAATATTTGGTCTATAAATTGCATGCAAGTATGACTTGAAAACAACATTAGCACTGTTTATTTGACTGTGAATAATGTTGTAGTTTGATAGTCACTGCTATTATGATTTCACTTTTTAGAATATGCAAATAATAATTTTCTGTAATTATTATTAAGGAGAAAGTCCAAATGAGTGAATATAAAACCAACTTTACCTCAATCGATATAATGATGTTTTGTCCTTTAATAAACTGTGGTTTCGTCTAAGAGCTTCAGGTTAAAGTTCACACAGAAGCAATAGATGCCATTCATTTTAAATATGCTTTAATGTTATGACAGACTTCACTATCGCCACTTCACTATTAGCCTAAGAGGGAGGTAAAGTTGGTTTTATGTTCGCACATTCAGACTTTCTCCTTAATAATACCATTTCAGGAAATTATTCCTTGCAAAATGTTAATAGGGAAATCATATTGGTAGCCTATCAAAGTACTGAATTGTTTAGCTTTTGATTTTTTGTGGTATATTTTTAGTTTCTGTGTAAAGTATCCTTTGAGAGTCTTATTTATAATATTTAAGCATTCTAATGAAGTTTAAATAGATCAATTTAAATATACATCATAATTTGCTAAACATTCAATGGATAGTTCACCCAAAAATCTAAATCGACTTGCTGTTTACTCATCCTCTAGTGGGTTATAAATATTTATGTTTCTTTCTTCTGTTGAAGAAGGCTAAAAACCTGTAAATATGGACTTCCAGTTAAGGTAAAATTGGTTTTATATTCGCACATTCATTAATCTTTGAACAGTGAGAACTTGTCGCATGGTCCCAATATTGTTTACCACGCTACTTTGAATATTCGGTCTAAAATTGAATTTAAGTAGGACTTCAAAACAACTAATATTTTGACTAAGAACAATGTTAAAGTTTGATTGTCACTGCTATTATGATTTCACTATTTGCAATTATAAATAAATTATTTTCTGTAATTATTATTATTATTATTATTATTATTATTATGGAGAAAGTCTAAATGGATGAATAGAAAACCAACTTTTCCTCAGTCGATATAATGACGTTTTGTTGTCAATTAATAAACTGTGGTATCGTCTAACAACTTCTGGGTTAAGTTCACACAGAAGCAATAGATGCCATTCATTTAAAATTTTTAATTCACCTTAAATATGCTTTAATGTTTTGACAGACTTCACTATCGCCGTTAGCCCAAGTAAGAGTGAGGTAAAGTTGGTTTTATATTAGCACATTTTTAATACCATTTCAGAAAATAATTCCTTGCAAATTATTAATAGGGAAATCATATTAGTAGCCTATCAAAGTACTGAATTGTTCAGCTTTTTGACTTTCAGTCATTTATTTTAGTTTCTGTGTGAAGTGTCCTTTTGGAGAATCATATTTATAATATCTAAACTATTGTGATGAGGGAGTTTGAGTACATTAATTTAAATATACATATTTATTTGCCAAATATGGGGATAGTTCACCCCAAAGTTAAATCCTACTTGCTTTTTACTCATCCTCAAGTTGATTATAAACATTTAGGAGTTTCTTTCTACTGTTTAACACAAGCAAAGATATTTTGAAGAAGGCTGAAAACCTGTAACTATTGACAACCAATGAGATAAAGTGGGTTTTTATGTTTGCACATTTGTTCATTTTTGAACAGTGACAACTTATGACACAGTCCCTATATTGTTTATCATGCATCTTTGAACATTCAAACCAACTGCATTATAGGCAAACCAATATAAAACAGGGCTCAACAATAAAGATGGCCCGGGGCCAGCATGAGAGACGCTCGGGACAGTAGACAGAATCGTTACTGGCCCGATCGAGCTAGTGCTGCCTTGTTGCTAAATTTTATTTTTCCTTTAGCTATTTATCAACTGCGTGCAAATACAGTCTTAGAATAGAGAAACCATTTGTGCTTTTAAGCCTTTAAAAGCTACCTTCTCTGCGAAGTCGTAAACACCATATTGCTTTTCGGTTATCTGATTGGATGTTGTAAGCACATCATTTTTGTCTGTAACTCTGGTAAAAGCCAGTACAGCGAAGAGACGACAACATGATGGCAACATCAAATTATGAGGCTGAAAGAAAACTTCGGTTTCTAACGTCTCGAAAACAGACATTTACGTTAGTACAACCCGACGAAAAAATGAAGTGATATTCTGAACAGTTTGCCGTCAGTTTGGCAAGTCAGTCACCTTTTTTTTTTTTTTTGCAATAAAATAGCTGCACATTTTCCATACTGCTTTATTTTACTTTATTTTGAAATATTTAAATTGTAGATTCACAGACGTTATTTTTTAAACATTATGTGAAATATGTGGCTAAGAAATGGCTATTAACTTCTTTTTATTTTTGGTGGGGCTTGTGAAAATTTTGTCAGAGCAAGTAAAAATCTGAACCACTGATCCAATTGAGCTAGGAGAAAAAATTCTTAGCGTTGAACTCTGTAAAACCAACTTTAGCACAATTGACTTCCACAGTAAGAAAAACAAATACTGTCGCAGTCAGTGGTTACAGGTTTTCAGCTTTCTTTAAAATATCTTCTTTTGTGTTCAACAGAAGAAAGAAACTCAAACAGGTATGGACCATGTGAAGCGACAGTAAATGATGACAGAATTTAAACATTTTGGTGGAACTATCTCTTTAATAGCTCAAATAACTCACTATTTAGCCAGCTGCAACCTTCCTACCTAATTTTGCCTTTAGCCCACTTGTTGCTGGAGATGACGGAGTTCAGATCCTAATGGTTTTGCTGTTTTGACTGTTTCTGAAGGATGGCGCTGGACGGTATACGGATGCCCGATGGCTGCTATGCAGACGGGACCTGGGAACTGAAGATGCACGTCACTGACCTCAACCGGGACGTGTCTCTCAGGGTGACAGGGGAAATTCACATCGGTGGTGTGATGCTTAAACTCGTAGAGAAACTTGGTACGTACACACTTTCCATCCCTCTCTGCAGTCATCAAGACCAATGATGCTTCAGCCTAGTGTGGATTCATTGACTCACCATCGGTGCCTCATCATTTACTGGAAACTGAATTAGACTACTCTGATATGACTATAATTCATCTTGCGTTGGATTTGGACATCCAGTTTGAAGATGAATAATATGTTTGGGATTTATGTGAGTCTGTTGCCAGAATTCCTCCACTTTTTATCCCTTAAAATATACGGCAATATATTAGTTGTTGATGTGATGTTGCATTTTCACCGTCACACATGACAAAAGATGAAAACAGTTAGTACTGCCATCATTTAAAATGCAGTAATAGTTCAATATTTCTTTCTTTCATGGATTTTATGTTATAAAAGCTGCTTGGTTTATTAAATTTTTTTTTACGTTTAAGCCAAATCTCAAAACTGTCCTGTGGTGTGACAGGACAAGCACAGTTCAATAAATAAGAGCTCTTATAAATGGAAAAAATGGTAAAATCGGTAATGCATACTTTAGTCATGATTATTCAATATTGTTTATTTTTGGTAAATGGCAATCATTTTTGTTTCATATAAAATAATTTAATATAAAATAACTAGCACTATAAATATACAGGGTGCCCGCTGGGTCTTAAAGTTTCTTAAATTTCAAAAGCTAAATTTTAGGCCCTAAAAAGTCTTAAATTCACTGAAATATTGTGTTGTAGGTCTAAAATCTGTTAAAATCATGTTGGTTTTAATTTTGCCTTATCCTATTAAAAGCTGCTCAATTGGGCCAAACGTTCATCCAATGATCAACAGTTCAAGTTTGATTATAAGTTTTAATGTGTAAATATAAGTTTTATTATTGCAAAAATATACAATTCACAACACCTGTTAGACATTTTTACAGCAAATTTGCCAAATTAAATTCCCTAATCAGGAAAAAAAATGTACATGATTTCAGATGATAATGCTAGACCATTAGAAAAAAATCGTAACCCAGCATAAGTCTAAAATGTCTTTCTTATTGGTCTTAAAAGAGTCTTAAAAAGTCTTAAATTTGACTTGATGACTTTGACCTGCACCAACCCTGATTTAAATGTCCAACAATGAAGAGAAGTCACTCTCACGCTATTTGTGTATTATTAAGTGTTTTTTCTTAATTTTTGCTATGTCATACCATAGGATACATTTAATGTACAGTTCAGTAAAAATGTAAACATTTTTTTTTTAAGCGACCTCTTATATTTTCTCAAACATCATAATTTAAAGTATATAACGCAGGCGTATCTGGGAACTTTGAATGATCTTGCCCATCAGTAAATTCATTCAAATCCATAATACTTATATTTACATTCATATGTATCTGCTTGTCTGTCACACCACTGTTTTTGACTGATTTTAAACGGTTTCATTTCTGTCAGCTTTTGCAGTTTGTCGCCATGTTGTGTCTAAATAATGCGCAGGTGTATACTCCATCAGCTGTTTAGTTTCTGTCAGCTTTGTGTTTCAGACTGTTTGTCTCCATCTTGTATCTGAATAATGCACAGGTTAGTGTATACTCCATCAGCTGTTTTCGTTTCTGTCAGCTTTGCATTTAATTAATAAACTATTACGGCTCAGAGCAATATTTTGTCTATTTTTTGGGGCAAGTAGCCATTTAATAAGTCGGATAAAGTACATCCAGAACGGTTGTTTTTTCAAAATAAAGTCCTTTAGTCATATACAACAGTGCTCCACTTTGTGTCGGGCTGCCAATAATCCTTATTCATCGATAATAACCTGCTAGATGTACTTTATTCCTAACATATCAAGTGGATATTAGCAGCATGTGTCATAGTAGCAAAAGTAGTCATAGTAGTCTGTGATATTAAATAGCTTTCAATAAATATTGTGTTGTTAGCTGTCAGTAAGTGTAATTCTTTACACAATTCTAATCAACAAGAATAGGTAAATGGGATCTAGAAGTATAACATTTCAATAAACATGATCAGTCTCTGCTCTCTGTAAAATAAAGGCTCTTATTTGAAGAACTAAAACGATCATTCACTCATCTTCAAGTGCTTCTAAACTTTGAGCTCTGCTGAACAGAAGTGTTTCGAAGAAAGCTGAAAGCAGATTCCTTTGTGTTTAACAGAAGAAGGAAAGTCGTAAAGGTTTGAAACAAATATCAGCTGAGTAAATGATGACAGATGTTTCATTTTTTTGAGTGAACTTTCCCTTTAACGTGCATTTTAATGCATCAAAGGCTCTTTGTCTTGGCAAAAATAAGGTTTTGTAGATTTTTAAGTGATTTTTAACCGTGAGGCTTTTTTGGAAACCTTGAATGACTTTTTGCAGTCAACTTTTAGAAGTATATCTTCATGACGAGCCAATCAGAAAGCACCTACTGCACACAGCAGGAGTATTTAAAGCAGCAGACGCCTGTCACACTCATAAAGCTCATTTTATTGTCTCTCTGTGTGGACACTAGTATATCTTTACAGCTCTTTATCGATGCAGGTGTGAATGTGCCATTATGTTGTCCATCAGCCAGCCTACTCTTTCTGTTAATGAAAAGCTCATAACAGTTGACCACTAATTGCTCCTGTGCATTATTAAATGCGTGTGTTTGTTTGTGTCATTGATTAAGGCTTCTTTATTTTAGTTAGGAGACGTGAGTTTGTAATAATGATATTAGAAGAGCAATTCCCCTGCATCTCATGCTTGTTGTTCAGAGCTGCAGAACAAATCCGTCTTTGTTTTGTGTGCTCTTCCCACTCCACCAAGACGTGGGTCATATGGAAGAAAGCGATGGAGAACACATGTCTTTTGATTCTGTATTAGCTGCTACATGTTTCCAGAGATGGGTTGTGGCTGGAAGCTGCATAAAAATGTGCTGCATAAGTTGGTGGTTCATTCTGCTGTGGTGATCCCGGATTAATAAAGGGACTAAGCCGACAAGAAAATGAATGAATTAGCTGCTACATGTTTCCGTGCTGTTCTTTGCGCTTGTAAAAGATGCATTCAGCACCTAATAGTAGCTAAAACATGTTGTTCTAAAGCATCAGCTGTGGCATCTGTTGTTTTCCTCTTCGCTGTGGCACAACAGGACCTCCTGTGGTTGTCTGCCTTCATCTTTAAGGCGAGATGTAAAAAACAGCTTTGTTTTGAGGGGGAATGTGTGAGAGAGCTCATCACGCCGGGGTCATTAGGAACTGGTTAGCCATGCTGCTCTTGCATTAACCCTGTGAAGTGCTCAGGAATGTGTAGTGCTGCTGAGAGAGAAGCTGGGCTAGTTTAAAGCACATGTTAGTTATTAACCCCTCAGAGAGAAACTTTCAAACATCATTTCTTTAAGCGTGCTTCAGTATACCTGAAGAAATGTGGCCTTTTGGCTATAAACCACAGTATTTGAATGTATAACGATAATATGTACAATAATAATAAGACACCATATGCAGAAAAACTGGGTTTTATTTGCTGTTTCTGCACAAAAAAGTTTGTGGTTTTATGCGGAATAGTTTAGAGAGTATTGTAACTTAACAGGGGGCGAAGCAGTGGCGCAGTAGGTAGTGCATGTTCTCACTGCGTTCGCGTGGGTTTCCTCCGGGTGCTCTGGTTTCCCCCACAGTCCAAAGATAAGCGGTACAGGTGAATTGGGTAGACTAAATTGTCTGTAGTGTATGAGTGTGTATAACTGAGTGTTTGTGGATGTTTTCTGAGAGATGGGTTGCGTCTGGAAGGGCATCCGCTGCCTAAAAACGTGCTGGATAAGTTGGTGGCTCATTCCTCTGTGGTGACCCCAGATTAATAAAGGGACTAAGCTGACAAGAAAATGAATGAATGTAACTTAACACATGGAGTAAAAAATCTGAACTTTTTAACTTGTATTTAAAGGGTCACGAAACACCAAAACACATTTTTTGAGCTGTTGACAGTCGTATATGTGTCCCACACTCAGGACACCTATATTTCACTAAAAAGTGTAAATTGGTTGTTTTTGCATTATTTCAAGCAAATTCGTACTTCCGGTTTGAAACGAATTTTTGAAGCTGCGTCACGGTCATGAGATAATAGCGTGTATTCCAGCGTGCAGACTGGACGTCTGTGCCAGAGTGTGTCTTATTACGTCTTACAGTGTGATGCATTAATGCATGAGTAAGGCTTGGTTCAAACCAATCAGCGCGCTCTATTGTGCAACTTCATTAATATTCATTACTGTCAGAGTGTAGATGGCCGAGACGCCACATTGTGTTGGCAAAACAAGCGTGAAGTGTTGCTTTTATAGTTTGCTGCAGTTAAGTTTTGATTTCATTTTCTCTCTGTGAGAGCTCAGACTCACGTGTGGATTAACAGTGTACGCGACGCGCGACAACAATAACTTACGTGTCCAAGGAGGATTATTGTTTACCTGAGAGCTGTTCTCATCTGCAAATGCTGAGATCCAGATTCGCTTTAGTCTCCTCTTAATAAAGACGCGGCTCTAGTTGCTGGTGATTGCCCTGTCTCTCCAGATTTAGTAAGTGAGCGCCAGTGCTCTTTGTTTATTCAGTTCGTATTTTATTCGTATCAAACAAACTATTGCAACGAGTGTAAACAAGTTAGCACTACAGTTACAACCCAACTATAACCTCGTGTTGGATTTTGTGACCGGAATAACACACGCGGCTTTCTGACGCTACCTGCCGTGTGCATCTAAGTTTCCGGGAAATGCTGAGTTTTTTTTTCTCTCATTCGCCGTGCGGTATCAAACACTGCATGAAAAATACACGCTTAGAGCAGTTTCTCGAATCAAATATCACGTTTGTCGCGAGGGACATGAATGAATTCCCTGAACGAAAGAGCCAAACTGCAGTTAAACTCCACCATTTAATAATCTGGCAAATAATTCGACTACAGATGTCCATGTAAACACAGTCACATTGTCCGCTGTGGTTGTGTGTTTTGACTCTGAAATTCAGCGCGCCCAAATAGACACTCCCACACCAAGCCTCGTTTCTTCCTCCGACACTCCCCCCTAAACAGAGCTG